CCGCCCCCCTACCGCCCCCCGCCCAGCGTGGTGCCCAGTCACCGAGCCCCCATCACCACGTACTACCTGGGCGCGCGCAGCAACCCCAACCCCGCGCAGGCGCAGGCCCTCCGGGGCGCCCTCCAAGCAGACGAGGGGGAGTCATATGTGTAAGTCCTAAAAGTGCCATTCATGTCACGTTGTGTCACCTAGTGTCACGCCATGTAGTAATGCATATTGTGCGCGTTCAGTGCACCAGTCACATGTGTTTTAAGGTCTGTACAAAATTTAAAATTATGTATTCATCATTTGTAAGTAAAGTGTTTAGAATTGTTATTTCTTGTTTCCAGTTACCATTGAGTTGAAGATGTTTTTTTTTTTTTTATAAGTATTATTATTGAATTGATGTTGTAGTCTATTTGCGCCATGTTTTTGCTTGGATGTAGTGATTTTGAAAATTCAAGTTTCTCCTGACAAATATGTAGGGATGAATTCTAAGAATTCTATGACATGTAAGTTGTAACTACGGAGTGGCTGCCAAAATTAATTTTGCAGGAGATTTATTCAATTAGTCGTCTGTATCATATAAAATTGCATACCATCTAGGAAATGCTCTGTCATGACATGCTGTAATAGATTTTTACTCTTATTGTACTTATTCTTGTTTAAATGTAAATAGATGGATGCCATTTGATGTTGACAAGATCTTTCACAAACTTGCTCCTTCTTTAGCTCCTGAGAAAACAAATCTGTATGTCACTGCTGAAATGGCTGCTCCCACTGGTGGGCCGACAAAGTATACCTGAAAAACAAATTAGTGTTTTTACCTTGGATTTTACTGTAAGTTCTGGCGCTATATATTCATAGATGCCAGAAAAATTTAACTGTGCAAGTAATAGATCTGGCAGCGTTTAAAATCTTGATCTGTCATTTTCTAAACAAGAAAATTAAAGAATATTACCCAAATGTTATCCCAGTGGTTCTGTGTGATTGCTGAAGCCAAGGTCCTCCAAGGATTCATGCTTCCTCCGCTAAATGGGATCTGCACCAAATTAAAAAAAAAATAATACACATATACTGTACCATTGTTAATAAAAATATTTACATGCTCAATGACAAGGGACACTTTGGGTCCATTGCAAGATGTGTCTGTGTGTACAAGTTCAAGATGTAATTTTGACTGGAATCAAAATTGCATCTCCTGGTGGACAAACTTTTATTTTGTACAACTGTGGATACCAAGGTTCAAAATTCTATTTTGCAAGATGTGCACACAAATTCTTCTTGCAATAAAAAAAGCAAAATGTCCCTTGTCATTTACAGTGACATACAACACAATTCACAGTGATGCTTAAAATTTTGAAGTTACTCTCTAAATGTTGAGGGGCTGTTGTCCATAGAAAGATGCACTTTTAAGCACATCTTGACCAAATGCATTTCAGCAACTTGCAACTTTGCAGCACTTTTATTGTCCACAGAAAGAGTTTAGGCACACCTCGACCGGATGCAGATTTGAATCGAGCAAGTGACGAATTAGCATCTTTTTTCTGGACAATTATTTTTTTGTCCACCATTAAGATGCAAGTTTCTCACTTCCAATCTGCATCTGGTTGAGATGTGCACAAAGACACATCTTTTTATGGACAGTTGAAGTCCTTTCATATTTAGTGTGAGACATTTTGTAAACATTCAAATTTTGCAATTTAACACCCACAGTTTAATGCTACTATCAGTTGGAACCATATGGTGAGCAGCTGCTATATTCTTCAGAAACGCCAATTGAGGTGTAATCTAGTTACACACTAAATCTGATAGGACTTTTTTTGTCCCTAGAGAGTCGCATTTTTGTGCACATCTTTACCAGGTGCAATTCTAAGTCTTACAAGTAACAACTTTGCACCCTCGCAATAGACAAATTTCTGTTAGGTCCATGATAGAGATGCAAAGTTGTGATTTGTACCATATAATATTGCAGCTGGTAAAGATGTGCACAAAGATGTGACTTGCCATGGGGAAAAATGTATCTTCAGATTTACTGTGTAGACAACACAATGTGTCTAAAGTTTGCACACTTAAACTAAGACATCAATTGACATGCAAAAGTAAACACTTGCTTTGCAAATGTTAGCTTCGCCCAAGGAGGAAGGCAAAGTCAGCTCGACATCAAAACAAGGGGTGAATAACTCCTGAATTGGGTGTACAAATTTCAAGAACTGAATTTGAATTAGCTTGAATTGGCTTGAATTATATTTAAATTAGACTAAATTGGTTGAATCATTTCTGAGTTGGTTTGAATTATTATTGCAATTTTATTTTATTGAATAAGCGTGAATTGACTTGAATTGGCTTGAATTGAATTGAATGTAAATTGTCTTGGATTGGACTGAATTAGTTGAATTATTTTTGAATTCGTTTGCATTGAATTGAATTGGTCTGAACTAGTTTGAATGGGGCAGAATAAGGGGTGTACACTTGGCAGGGGAGTTATCCACCCTCGCATCAAATTGATCTTCAAGGTCAATATTAGGGAACATTAGGGAATCTTACGTTTGACATCATGAAGACCTCAAAATGGTCTCCAAGATTGACCTTAAAGGTCATTATGATGTTATGCTGACTTTGCCACTCCTCTCTCCTTGGACAGGCGGGGAAGGGGGGATGCACCATGGGTTGCCTGTGTACAGGGCTTTTGTAGCACAGGTTGACAACCTCTCAACGACGAATATCGAACAGCACTAAAAGAACTCGGTTTCTTCGCCACCCGCTTGTGGAGTTGGGGTCCTGCACACTCACCCCCACCCAGTGGCCGACGGCCAGGGCCAGCCCCACCGCCACCCCGCCCAGGTCCTTGAGGGCGTCCCCGCGCTCCGGGTCCGAGGCGCCCAGGAACACGAGCACCAGCAGCATGGTGATGAGGATCTCCACGGAGATGGCCTTGACGCACGCGTTGTGCAGCGCCCCGGGGGTCGTCAGCCCCGAGCCGGCCACGCACTGGAATCCCAGGAAAAATATGTAAAATGAGATATATTAGCAGGTGGCTGAAGCTGGTCCCACAATAGCTCCCGTCAGCTCCGGTCAGTTCACTTCAGTTCAGTACACGTCACTTCTGCCTCGGTATACTTTTTCAGTCGTCTGATTTTATTTTTGATGTTATTTTTGAAGAAAATTGGCGTTGGCGCGGAGAAAGGCGCAGCGGCGTAGCCAGCCAACATTGCTGTCGTTACTGAAATCGTAGGCTACTGTGCCGCATGCAGGCGTGCGAGTGGGTTGCCTACGTACAGTAACTATGAAAGTGCGCGGCGTAAAACAGCCACCTGGTATTTTCCGAGGAAGAACAGGGGGAATATCGTCTGCCCCCGGATCATCGCCACATCGCCTTGGCCAATCAGAGAGGGTCTCTCGTATGGCCGGTTGCAGAAAGGCCCTCTGTGATTGGTCGGGGCATTGCGAAGGGGCGAAGGTCCGGCGGCAGCAGCGCGGAGGCGGAGGGGCGGGCGGCTTAAAGAATGCTCAGCTCACCCAGGCGATGAAGGCCCCCAGCAGGGAGCCCAGCAGCTGCGCGATCACGTAGAAGATGCAGGGCAGCCACTCGATGCGGCCGTTGATGAGGGCCGACATGGACACCACGGGGTTGAAGTGCGCCCCCGAGACGGGCCCCAGCGCCTGCAACGGGTGCGGCCAGGGGTAAGTATTTCACTAAAGAAAAATCCTTTAAAAGACAAACCCAGAAAAGATCAGAAAAAATCAAGGTTAAGTCAAAATAAATAAAAGCAAAATCAGAAAAGAAAGAATCTGGAAAAAGTAAAAATCAAGGAAAATTATAGGGTATTTCAGAGCTGGAGTTGAAGAAGTAAAATGGAAGAACAAAACGCACACCGCGCATGAGCAGACGCAGGGTGGGGGAAGCAGGGGATGGAGTGGGGGGCGTCTGCTCATGCGCAG